TGGTGCGGCGTGGTGTGCTGCTTCTGGGACGTGTCTTGAAATTACCGCGTTGTGTGGTTTGAAACACTCCATAGACAATAGATTCTATTTGATGGAGTGACGTTCCGCGCCGCTGATGCTTTTAGTGTGAAACTGGAGTAAGGTGGGTAAGAAGCAGCCAATTGTCTTGTCATGACCTGATCGCTTCTCGTCAGCTACAGAGCATCCCACATACCATACAGGGATGGAGAACGCCAGCATGCTCTCAATGGTGGAGTGGTAGAAGGCCCCTAGCAGCTTGTTCTCCAGTCTTTCTCTTGAGGACTCAAAAGTTGAGTCTCTGCTTAACCATATTAAGATAAGATAAGATAAGAACAACTTTATTTATCCCGAGGGAAATTCTTGTGTCATGTACATGCTCAAAGCAGTCGGAGAGACAAAGGAACAGGTGAAATAGAAATATGATATACAATATATACATTAAAAAAATGATCTACAGTAGTACCATGTAGGATAGTGCAAAACAAACAATTGCATATCTCAATAATTAAATACATGACTGCATCCTTGTGAATAAGTAATTAAGCCGTCGGTGCAGGCGATTCACAAAAGTGATTAAAGTATTGTGTAATAGAATATGGGTTTGTAGCAGCATATGATATGATGGGGGGATAAAAACATATTTACAATCAGAACTCTGGTAATATTGCACAGTCGGTGAGGGCACAGAGTAACCTAGGTAACAGTATTAGGAGAATCACCTACAGGGTGAGGAAGAGTTAAACAATCCTATTGCCACCGGTACAAAGGATTTCCTGTGGCGGTCAGTTCTGCATTTCGGGGCAATGAGTCTTTTGCTGTGTGTGCTTCGATGGTCCATCATGTGGGCGTGCATGGGGTGGGAGGGGTTGTCCATGATAGAGAGAAGCTTTTTTAGCATTCTCTTCTCAGACACCTCCTCCAGGTTCTCCAGTCTAACACCCAGGACAGACCCAGCCCTTCTAATCAGCTTGTTCAGTCGGTTGGCATCATATTACATTTCTAATCAGACACACCCCCATGGTCCTTTGTCCTAACAGTTACCAATAACAGTACTGTTAATAAAGAAACCCATTGTTTTTTAATGCACTAAGTAACGTTAATAAAGGGACCCTTGTTGTAAAGTGTTACCTGAACTTCACCTCTCACTTTAGCAGTCAGCCAGAAGAGGAGCAGTGTGTGCTAGTGTGCATTTCTCTATCTAATTAGATCATCATAATAAGCTGTAGCATGACTTGCCAAACAGATCCACAGCCAAAGCAGACTGTTGTCTTCACACACATCACGCTCTTAACTCATTCACTGCCAGCCGTTTTCTGATCAGAAAGTCCCCGACTAGCAGCATTTTAGACCACATATACTGTTTATTGAAGAGTGACAGAACATTGTGCTCTGTGATCGTGTAAACACCAAAAGTACCAAAAGAAAGAGTAGACTCACTTCTTACATCAGGAAGAATCTGTTGTTTCTAGTTTTATCTGTTCTTTCATAATCCGTTGTGGAACTGTGAGCAGCAGAAGCTTTTTAAGTTAGAGCCTTGCTTTTTTCACAGCAGCGACACAAAATGATCTCCTAATTCATGGATTTTCTGCTTCCTGATCATGTGACGTATGATCGACTTTAGAGCCGTGATGTTTGCTCTCATAATGCGGGGGCTCGTTCCAGGCCCGCCCCATTAAAAAATGCAATTGCTGATTCAATGAGTTAAAAGGAAATTCCACCCCAATTTGAAATTTTGTCTGTTGACACATTTCCCAGCATTAGATAAGTAGGAAAAAGCAGCCCGGTCATTCTCCTGACACGGATGGCCACAAAACGTTTTTTAAACAGCTTTGGTTTAAACTTTGATCTATTTAGACGTGGGATTTTCTTTGAGTCAAGTCCAGATAGAGGTACTTAAAGCTGCTTTCCAGAGTTTTCCCCTTTCAGAAATGATGTATGATTTTTCAGAAATCCGTAAAAGTGATTATCTCATCATGTACAGTGATTGAATGTAAGCAATACCTCTTTTTTTTTTTTTTTTTGCTAAGCACGCCCCTTGCCCCGCAGAGCTCCAATCAATAGGAAACTGAGTGCCAACCAGAACTAACCAATAGCGTTAGACTGCCGCATATTTGCTTCAGATTTAAGGAATACCTCGGTTGATGCAGAGTTGATTAACTTTTCACGGACAAGTAAGTCTCTAAAATATAAATATATGAAACTAGGGCCGGGACTTTAACGCGTTAATTATGATCAATTAATTAGAAATAAAATGACGCGTTTAAAAAAATGCATGCATTGAATTGCAGCTTGCATTTCGAGCACAGCGCATCCTTTGTCATTGCACGACTTCCTCGTAGACCGAATATCACTGGCGCACACAACAATGCACAGTGCTAATGGCTACTAAAACAAAATAAAAACAGAAAGAAGTTGCCTTGCTTGTACTGATGCAGGATTTAGGAAACACGTCTGCCTCTTTTCTTAACTTGGAAAAAAAAACTTCTAGACAACAACAGAGTCCGTGTCGCGGACATTGTTCAGAGATCGATAGTGCTGCAGCTGCCCGTTGGCACCGGAAACTTTACAACTGGAACCAGTTAGTGTTCCTGATCATTCTCAGAATATGTCACACCTGCTCTGGTGTTAAAAGTTAGTACATTTAAGCCTTAGATCATATTTGTGCCTGTTCTACTGTCATTTTGAAGGATTATTATTTATATGTGTGTTTTTACTACATTATGAGTAGAAATGCTAATAAAAACTCCCAATTATACAAACAAGTGAAACTGGAAAAATTTGAATCTGGTGCAAAGTCAAATTTATTTCAGTCATTCAACTAGACAGAGAGACTATTTAAAGGCTCAGGAACCCTTTGCAGGTGTTTTCTATTTGTAATTATAAATTTTTGTTTTGGGTTTTGTTTCATATCACACAGTGACATTTGAATAATTAAAATGCATGTTTTATTAAAAGCTTTAGTTGACAGTAATAACCATGTTTAATGTTTGATTCTCTGTCTCATAATTTTAATTAAAAGTTTTGCTTTGAAAGCACATTTTCCTGAACAATTAAAATGCGATTAATTTAGATTAATTAATTACAAAGCCTGTAATTAATTAGATTAAAATTTTTAATCAAGTCCCAGCCCTAATGAAAGCATAACATGACATGAGAATAATACTCGTAAAACAGCGTGTTTTAGCTCCGTTTGTCGGCTAAGAAGCACATTTATAAACAGAAACGTGAAGTCGCAATCTTAAACAGAGGAATAGCCTTTTTGTGTATGCTTGTCAGCCACTAGATGGTGCCATCAGATAAGAGAAATACTCCAGAAAGAAGCTTTAAGTCCTTTATTTAGAAAAAGGATGTTTGTGTATGTTGTGTCTTCTATAGTGTATGGAGGATTGCCTCGCTGGCTGACATCGGTGACAGCGTCTTGTTGATTGTTGTCCAATAGCATGTGGAGACAGTTTGAAAGACAACTGTAGATTTTGTCCTACGACTGAGCTCCGTCTATGCATTGTGGCCATACTACTGTAGTTGTTCACATATAGAGGATGGCCTGCCAGGTTAGCACTCTGCTGCTGTCAGTGAGATTTGCACTTGTAAACAACCATAGATCTCCATGTATTTAACTGTGTAATCTGAAGGCTGTAAGAATTTTTTAAATATCTTTTGCAGGAACCGCTTTAAAATTCTGGAGATGTTTTTCATTTTTATAAAGCAGCAATTCCCAATCATCCGTTAGCTCAACGGTCCTGTAAAAGCTGTTTCTACAAACCGGGACTTCTCTGGGAGCTTTTTACAAGTGAAATAATACATTTAGATTTTACACAGAAACATGCTTTAAAGGGGCCCAAAAATCCCTTTAAAACCGTGTCACCATCCAAATAAACCCAGTTAAGGCTGACAGACTGTGGAGAAATGTTAGCGCTTTCTGCTCAGTTACACCATTGGTCACAGTGGCTTTCAGGCTATAAATAGAATAAAACTGTACATCTGATATCACCCTGATGTTTAACTTCCCCCCAAAAGCAAGCAGTAGATTTAGCTGTCATTTAAATTTTTGCTGTTGTCTACTCAGTAGATAAAAATGGTTTACATCTGATAAAAGCAGAGATGCACGATGGAATCTAAAGCAGAGTTAACAGAAAATGAGAAGGAAATGAAATGAAAATGCAGGATGCGTCAACGAAAGAAGGAGATGAAGCAGAGGCGTGAAACCTCTGGTTGGGATATCAGACGAGAAGGAGGGAAATTAAAGGAGTAAAGAAGGAAAACTGAAAGAGAGACAGAGAGGAGACGGTCAGCGTTGTGTGGATATATTTACCATCCCAGTGAGGGCTTGAGAGGAGGGTCTTACAATGAATATACGACTTGTGTTGTTTCCTCTACTTCTCTAAGAGTAGAATGACAATCAGATGGATGATGGACAGTTTCATGTGGTGTGAAATTGGGTTTTCCAGGTGTCGTTTCTTCCTGCGTTCTCTGTAACGTACTCACCGAATGTCACGCGCTGCAAATCAGCCATAAATTTCTCCTGCTTGGAGTGACTGCCTGTTAGGCAGGCATCTATGACACAGACCAAAAATGCCATCCAGTTTCATCTCCGCTGTGAGAAAAGGCTTCGTAATTTCAAACATCTCTCTGAGCCTGTCAAAACAGATTGCTTTGACACAAGCAAGGGCATCCTTCATACCGCAGAGGGGTTGGAAGACGATACAGAGATGCAGTCAGAGACAGACAGCAGTCGTGAAACCTTCGTTCAGTGATAAACCTCATACCCCATAGGAGAGGACGCTGACAAACTGACATATAACTTTACTGTATCTGTCAGTTTACCTCATCTTCTGATGTATTAACTCTCATAAAAACAGTGCCACACCGCAGAGAAAGCATGTTTCTGACAGGCTTGGCCTTTCACCGTGGCCACTTATTTTGAATTAATTAGACATACTTGCAGTCCCACAATCTTTACATGCCACGTCATGTCTATAATGGTATTTTGCACTCAGAGCATACCTGTCACCATGGTGATTATAATCATACAACAGATGAGGCTCATGGGAAATAGTCTTGAGAAGAACACGTTTTTGTGTAAATCAGACAAGAGAAAATGTGACAAAAGGCAGATGAAGGCAGAGGGGGAAAAGTGCTGAACAAAAACAACGTAGGGATCAAAGTTAACATTTTTCGGCTGTGACAAGAACAAACTGCGTGACTTAGCATGCCTGGCACTGAGCTGAATTTGAATGGCACCTTTCCTGGCAGGATAAACCTTTGTTTGTGACTACCATTCAACATGAAACATCCAGTATGTCCTATAAATCTTAGCTAGCTTCTTAACAAGAATTGAAATTTTTACTTGCTCTCTACTTACTACTCAATCTTTGTCCCAAACCTCACCTATGTTCATGAGCTTTTTGTAAAAATTGAAAATTTTGTCTAGATGCATCCTGGATCCCTCACAGTGGAGGTGTTTAGAGAGAGTCCTGTCGCTAGAAGGCCCACAGGTCAACCCAAAATGTGCTAGAGTATCTATATCTTCAAGCTGGCCAGGAAATGCCTCCAACTGGTGGAGCAGGTAGAGACTGTTCAGGGGAGGAGAGTTTGAGTCTCTCTGCTAGTCTTGGGAACTTTCAGACTGGCTGTTGGCTCATCAGTCCTGTAAGACATAACTTGGTCTTTGGACTTTTCTGGTACCAAATAGAGAACTCTTAAGTCCAAAATAACTTCACTTGTTTTTTCAGTAGGTTTGCAGTGGCCTCTAGTATAAATTAATGCCTTTCAAGTCAATCTCTGTGAGGACATAAATTCTGGCGCTCCTGTTACAGGAAGTAGAAGTTAGTCAGAGGAGAGAAGAGCTTCAGACGGCATATGAAGTCTTATTTACTGATATTTTGACATCTCTCCTCTAATTGGATTACAACGCGACTCTACCACTAATTCCATTTGCTTTGAGACATTGATGATTTATCTCCGCAAATCAAAGGAGTTCTGCTGTGTGGGTGAGTTGCTAATGCTAATGGTTAGCTTCTATTAGCCAAGATGTGCTCTGCTCTTTCCTGGATGCTAAATAAACAACAACCTTCCCCGTCACTAGTCAAGATGGGTGACTCCCTGAATGCTGATTTACAGTGTGATATGGCTTTTCTAATCCCAGTATTTCCTCATTTATTTTTATTTTAACAGCTAATATCAGGAAATAGGAGTAGAAGTCTATTTTCACGTTCAGCCTGTCATTCGTGACGCTACAGCCTGTATGTTAAGTTCAATGTCATGTTTATTTCTATAGCTCATTTTTAACAGTTCACACTGCCCCAAAGTGCTGTACAAAAAAGAAAAAAGAAAAAAACAATAAAAACAACAAAGGAATTATTTATGTCATTAAATTAAAAGCAGGACACTGGATCTGACCATTTGACCTTAGAACTGAAGAAGCCTCTCGGATGAGAGGTGAAACGTCTTCAAGCAACTCAAAGAAGTCCAGACGCTTTTCTTTCAAAGCTCCTTAGACAATGAATCTAATATATATGAAAGTCTAATGTTTATCAGTACATTACAGAAAATAATTAACTTTATCACAATATGATCATTTTTTGAGAAGGACCTGCAGAATATTTACTAAGAAATCACAATGTAACCATGGAAAAATTACTTGGTATATATGTTGTGTGTGTGGATGTGTGTTTGTGTGTGGGTGCTCTGTCTTCTCGATCCCCAGTGAGTCGTGGAGGATGGCTGCTTATACTTAGCCTGGATCCTCTGGAGGTTTCTTCCTGTTAAAGGGAGTTTTCCTCTCCACTGTCACTAAATGCTTGCTTAGTATGAGGATTGCTGTAAAGACTCTGACACTAGTCAGTGACTTGATACAATTTGCTGGGTTCCTTATATAGGAAACTTTTTACTGACTGGCTTAATGAACTGAGCTGTATTGGAATGTTTGCTATGTGAAGTGCCTTGAGATGACTCTTGTCGTGATTTGGCGCTATATAAATAAACTTGAATTGAATTGAACTGAATGAGTCAGCTCACATTAAAAGTCAGATTAAAAAGATACATATTGAATAAAAATGTTAAATGTTCAAGCAGTCATTATGTGCAAAGGTAGGTTGTTCCATAATTTAGGTCCAACCACGGGTCTTAAGACGAGATCTAGGAATGGTTAAGAGGGCCTGGGAGCTAGAATGCATGGCTATAGTGGGAACATGGGCATTCAGCAGCTCAGAAATGTGGGAAGGAGCCTACTGTGCAAGTATTTAAAAACAGAGTAACATTTTAAAATGGATCCTGAAATAAAGAGGAATCCAGTGCAGTGAGTCCAGGACTGGGGTTATGTGTTCCTGTCTTCTGGTACCAGTCAGCAGCTGTGCTGTTGTGTTTTGGACCAGTTGAAGGCAACGAAGAGAGTAATGGTCCAGACCCAGCTAGAAGGACTTACAGTAATCCAACTGTGAGAAAACAGGTGGATGACGTGTTCAAAGACGTCAGCAGAAACGTAGGACCATACTTTAGCTCACTGCCTCAAGAGATGAAAGCCAGATTCAACCAATGCACTAACCTGTGTATTTAACTTAAATGCACCATCTAAAAGCACACCAAGGTTTTTTACACAGGATTTCAGAAAAGACTCACACGAGATAAAGGGGCTGACAACACCCTAGAGAGTTTTGGTTGTCAAAAGAAAGATCTCAGGTGTTAATTCATTTAACTTGAGGAAGTTTAACAACATCCACCGTCTAATTTCGTTAAGGCATTCCAATAAAGGCCCTTTTAAAGCAGGTTCATTATCAGGGACCAGAGGCAAATACATCTGCAGGTCATCAGCAAATCAGTGAAAGGGGATATTATACTTCTAGAAGAAAAGCCCAACGGCAGAAAGTACATTGAAAAGACAAGTGCTGGGCCCGGATTTGAGCCCCGGGGTACACCACGGTTCAAGGGAGTTGTGCTAGAATTAAAAGATCCCAAACTCACTTAAAATGATTTACCGCGTAGGTATGATTGATCAAAATCAGCATGACCAATATTTTCAAAAATAAAAAGTAAAAAATGGTTTCTCAGTTAACTTGGTCATTATGTCTGTTTGGAGCATCTACTACCAAGTAGGAAAAATAAAACAGGTGGATTTTTATGAGTTCCCAGTTTGCCTCCAAACTCACTGGATATGGCATGAGGATATGTGACAGTTACATGTAGGGAAAAAATGATAAGAAATGCTTTTCACACTCACTGAGTAAGGTAAGTACAACTGCAAAGAAGATTAAAAAGACAACCAAGTGTCAATCAACTTTCCAGAGAAACAGTAAACATACCAATCTGTGATAGAATAACTCCTGAGGTCTGATTATAAACCATTTGGCAGTGATGGTGTAAATCATACCTCTGCATGAGAGGAAGCAATTGCTTTGACTATTGTAGCTGTTTCTGACCCAAACTGCTTTAGGAGCTTTTCAGAAATTTCAAAACTGGGCATCTCTTCAGAAGACCTTTGATGTGTTTTTCTACTTGCACATTAAAAAGGAACTTAAGCTATAATGTGACTGTCTGGGGGTGGGTAGTAGATAAAAAAAGATCATGTGAAGTTTGAGGGAAATATATTTTCAATAAAATATATTGAGTGTTCATTGTGTAATCAAATGCGAAGACTGTTTGAAAGACAACCGTAGATTCCGCCCCACAGCGGAGCTCTTTCTGTGGGTCCTCGTCAGACTATATATTCACATATATAGGATGGCTTACCAGGTTATAAAACTCTGGCTTGAAAGGTGGAGGCCATTGGCATTCCTTCAAGAAACACTAGACCGAGGTCCCCCTGGGGCTTCTGTCCTCCGGAGGGACCTCTGGATGGCTGGAGCTTGGATCTCCTCCATCTCTCACAGGGGTCTTGGGGGGGCAGGTCTTTGGTCTCTCACACTCACTATTGGACACTCCTATAGAGAAATCTTACTTACACAAGCACATGCACGCTCAAATGTTATTCTTACAAGAATGGACTCGGGTGTTTTTGACACATTACCTTGGGTTGTGGTTGGCGCTAAATGCACCACGAATTAGTTATCGCTGTGTGCTTTTCGGCAAATATTGTCGCTGTTTTAAATCCTTATGTTGTTTGGCGCAATAATATCTTGGTTCTGTTTCATTTTTGTGTGTCCCTTTTTTCTCTGTATCTGTAGGTCTTGAAGCACACTCTTATACATCCTGTATTGTTTGTTTTTGTGTTTATTTTGCTTGCAATGATTTAGGTATCTACTTCCCCCTAGTGCCAGGAAAAATACACACTGTCACTTCAAGCTAGATATGAAAAAATATTTTTGGAATCATTTTCTACAAACAATAACATGCTTCTAATATTAATAAAAAAAACTATGAAAATGTTTCAACAATCCAAAAGCATATTATGTGACTATTCTATTCTGGGGTCAAAGGTGAAGACTGCTGTCTGACCTGACAGAGGCAGAAACATTATTAATCCATAGTCAAAGTGAGAAAGAGGGTAGTGTAGAATTATAAGGCAGAAGAGAAATTTCAAATAAGGTAGACATTCTAAATCAACCTTTTACCATTTTAAGCTTTAATTTTTGACTTCTTTACTTTCCATATTTTACTTTTTGGCTTTATTCTTCTTTTACACATTAGCTGTCACTGAGAATGAGCTGTGTGAATGAACATGACTGCTTGTGTGTCTAGTATTCAGCTCATTTCACCTCTCTGCGTTAGCTTCATTGGATTTCGTCACCTTCCGCTCTACCTCAGAGTACCACATTAACCTTTACCCCCTGAACTGCTGCGGAACATGACAACACCATTCACCCCTTTTCTCATGAATGCCCATCTCTCTGTCATACTCTTCTTTCCCACAAGCCCAGTGTGTATTTGTCATACGGGCAAAGTCTGTTTTATTGTGGTTTTCCTTCTAGTGTGGTGTGTTTTTAGTGTGTATTAAATGATGTTTTAATTAGAATTTTCAATAAACCCCGGTGCGGTGGTTAATGGCTGATTCCTTTGATCTCTGGCAGACGCTCTCAATTTACCTGGTGTAATCCTTGGGTGGGATTTTGTATTTGGTAGATATATAATATAGCCCACCCACCCGGTAGGAAGGTGCCACATTAGGCGTTGCTGGCAGGATCCAGGCTTTGGGAGCGGCTGTTGGAGCCAAATAAATTAGCCATGATGATGCCTGTTTACCCAGGGGCCCCTTGGCTTCCAAAATTTAAAGGACATGGGGAGGACTTAAAATACTGTGACTGGAAGGAACAGATAACCGGGTTGCTAGGGACACAGGAGTTGGCAGAACCCAGGAAGGTTGATATTGTATTGGGGGCGCTGGCTGGGGAAGCCAAACGTCAGGTCAGTGTTTTGGAAGAGAAGGAAAAAGATCAAGTCCGTAAAATCCTTAACTATTTAGATTCCCTGTATGGAGACCGCACTCCAACCGCGGTGTTAAGGTCTCAGTTTTTCGGTTGCACCCAGAAGCCAAGTGAGACTGTATCTTCTTTTATTTTGAGGTTGCGTGAGCTACATTGTAGGTTGCGGCGACATGACCCCGACGACTCCCCCTCAGATATAGCCTTACGGGACCAGCTGTTGTTGGGGTTACAGGAGGGTCCCCTGGCCCAGGCCTTAAAGGTTTATGCTCGCCGTAACCCTGAGGGGGATTTTGCTGCTATCCGTCAGGAGGCACTATTACTTGATGCAGAGTACGGAAACACGCCGACTGAGGCGACATGTTCAGCTGTGAGTAACCCATGTGCTTCCCCCAAATCATCACAGGGACCTGGCTGGAAGGAGGCCCTAAAGAGGGAGCCAAATGCTTCACCGCCTCCTTTAAACTAACCATCCCTGCTGCTGAGGTCCGGGGGGCAGGGGTGGCTGATTCACCACCAGAGGGAAAAGGGGCCACTGAGATGTTTGTTGGACAAAGTCCTACCATAGGGGTGACCATTGAGGGAGTCCAGCTCCAGGGGTTGCTGGATACGGGTTCCCAAGTAACTTTAATGCAACAGAGTCTCCTAGAAAAATATTTTACTGGAATTAAACCTGAGAAGACCCCTGTATTCTTCCAATTGAGAGCAGCCAATGGATTAGAGATCCCCTATACTGGCTATGCAGTGTTGGACTTTGAAGTGGAGGGCATTAGCATACCTGGGCGGGGCGTTATTATTGTTATGGATGAACATTGTACACACCCGCTCATTATAGGCATGAACATTGTGACTGCTTGCTGGAAGGCCCTGTTTAAGAGTTCTGCAGCGGCTGCCCCATGCCCATCACCGATAAAGCATCAGAAGGCCTGGAAGGATGCCTTTGCAACCTGCAGGCGTATTGAAGCTACTGTGGCCGAGGATGGGCTGCTTGGATTTGTGCGGCTGGCCCGTCGGGGCCCTATAAGGATCCCACCGAGAAGTGAGATGCTGGTTTGGGGCCGGGCGCGGAGGGGCCCACGAGGAGCAGACTACTGTGCCCTGTTAGACCCGACATCAGAGACCAGTAAGGTGGGCGTGGCCAGGACACTGGCCATTGTAAGAAATGGCAGAATTCCGGTGCGTGTTTGCAACCCCCACCCTTACAGCCTGTCTATTGGCCGGTACGAGAAGCTGGGAAAGCTGTACCACATGGATGAGACGGATGTTCATGGACCTCGTGATCTGAGCCTGTCCCTGGAGGAGGACGGAGCGGTTGAAGTGGCGTTGGTGGATGCAGCAGTGCCTACAGAACAAAGTGAGCTTCCACAAAGGGTGAGAGATCTAACTAACCGGCCAGATTTGTCTGAAGCTCAACAGGAGGAGCTGTGTGCCTTGCTGCAGAAGTGGGAAAAAGTTTTTGCGAAGCATGATGAAGACTTTGGGCGGACAGAGGCCGTAAAACACCAAATCCACACTGGTGGGGCAGCACCTATTAGGGAGCGATATCGACCTCTCCCTCCCCTCATGTACAGAGAGGTGAAATCCCTGTTGTCAGATATGCTGGAGAGAGGAGTGATTAGAGAGAGCTGTAGCCCCTGGGCTGCACCCATAGTCCCGGTGAAGAAAAAAGACAACAGTTGGAGATTCTGTGTCGATTATAGGAAATTGAACGCAGTAACTCATAAAGATGCCTTTCCTTTGCCTAGGATAGAGGAGACTCTGACCAGTCTGAACCGAGCAGAGTGGTTTTCTACCCTTGACCTGGCCAGTGGGTACTGGCAGGTCGAAATGGATCCTCAGGACAGGGAGAAGACTGCTTTTACCACTCCACTTGGGTTGTTTGAATTTGAACGCATGCCGTTCGGATTGTGTAATGCCCCCGCCACTTTCCAGCGACTTATGCAGCAGTGTTTAAGTGGTCAGATGGCAGAGTCACTGTTGGTGTACTTGGATGACATCATTATTTACTCACCCGATTTCTCCTCTCACCTACAGCATCTGGACGGGGTACTCCAAAGGCTGTGGCAGCACGGATTGAAGCTACGGCTGGACAAGTGTAAACTACTGCAACGTGAGGTGAAATATTTGGGCCACGTGGTAGATCAAAGAGGGGTAAGACCTGACCCAGATAAGATCTCGGCGGTGAGGGATTGGCCGCCCCCCTCTACTGTGCGACAAGTGCGGGCCTTTTTGGGACTGGCCGGCTACTACAGACGCTTTGTAGCGGGATTTGCAAAAATTGCCCGGCCGCTGAATGCACTGCTCGCTGGCGCCCCTATTAACAAAGGGACGGAGACCCGGGCAGTACGATGGTCCCCTGAGCACCAAGTGGCGTTTGACGCACTGAAGACAGCGCTTATCCGGTCCCCAGTCCTGGCATACGCTGATTATTCGTTGCCATTCATTTTGTACACAGATGCAAGTAACCAGGGGCTGGGAGCAGTGCTGGCTCAAGTACAAACGGGGCAGGAACGTGTCATAGCCTATGCTAGCCGTAGCTTGCACCCAGCTGAGCGTAATGACTCGAACTATAGCTCCTTCAAATTGGAGCTTTTGGCACTCAAGTGGGCAGTAACCGAGAAGTTTAAGGATTATTTGACTGGTGCAACGTTCTTGGTATATACTGACAATAATCCTGTTGCCCATCTGCAGACAGCCCGCCTGGGGGCAACGGAACAGCGCTGGGTTGCTCAGCTTGCCTCTTTTAACTACAGCATCAAGTATCGTCCCGGGAAAAGCAACACGAATGCTGATGCCTTGTCCAGGTTCCCAGTGCCCACCTCGGATGATGAACCCTCCGATGCGGAGGCTGCATTTTCGGCAGCCGTGGAGCTCGCCCCTGATGGGGGAAGTGAAGATTGGGCTGATGGTGAATGGGAGCTGGCTCAAGCCAATGACCCGGATATCCGGCTGGTTAAAGAGTACGTGGACCGACAAACGAGACCCTCGAGAGCAGAGCGACAAGCTATGTCCCGCACGGCCCAGAAGTTGCTACAACAACAGAAGAGGCTTGTGAATAAGGGCAATTTACTGTGCCGGAGGGTGATCGAGCCCCGCACCAATGAGGAGCACTACCAGATTGTATGTCCCAGCTCTCGACATAGAGAGGTTTGGATGAGAATCCACGAGGCAGCTGCCCATGCTGGTGTGGACCGGACCCTGGCCCGGGTCAGACAAAAGTTCTACTGGCCAGACCAAGAGGGGGAGGTACGTCGTTACCATCAGGGTTGTGTCGCCTGTAGTTTACAGAGAGAGAAGGTAGAATTGAGGGCTCCTTTGAACCCTGTGGTGGTGTCCTACCCCTTAGAAGTGATAGGGTTAGACTTCTTATCGCTTGGTCGGCCTACTGATGTTTTCCAAAACATACTTGTTGCTACAGATCTGTTCACCCGGTTTGCTTGGGCCATCCCTACTAGAGATCAGACGGCGCAGACCACAGTGAGGGCTCTGTGGACGCATGTAATTCAACCTTTTGGCTGCCCAGCCCATTTCCATTCGGATCAAGGCCCCAACTTTGAGTCTGCCTTAATGAAGCAGCTCTGTGACACCTATGGTGTAACTAAGAGTCGCACAACGCCATACCATCCAGCAGGGAATGGTGGTACAGAGCGGTTCAACCAGACATTGCTAGACATGCTTCGCTCATTGGAGACAGCCAAGCAGAACCGCTGGCCGGAATACATTTCTGAGCTGGTACATGCGTATAACAACACAACACACAGCTCCACCGGTTATGCGCCCTCTTTTCTCATGTTTGGCAGGCATTTGAGACTCCCGGTAGATCTAGAGCTGGGGGTTGGCCCCCAAGAGGTACGTCACGAGCTGAGTGGGTGGGTAAATGAGCACCAGCGGAGACTTTCCACCGCTTATAATATAGCGGGGCAAAAGATGAGCAAGGCAGCTTCTCAGTCGAAACAGCATTATGATAAGAAGGCCAAGGCCATGCCCCTGCTGCCAGGAGAACGAGTGTGGGTGCGGGAGAGAAACAGGCAGGGCAGAGGGAAACTGTGTACATGGTGGGGAAATGATCCTTTTGTGATTTTGGACAAGGTGGGAGAGACGGGGGTGGTTTATCGGGTGCAACCTGAAAAAGGTGGTCGCCAGCAGACGGTGCATAGGAATGCATTGAAGCCGTGTACAGCACCCCCTGTAGACATTTTACCACCGGTAGCGGAGCCTGAAGCAGGCAGTCAAAGGCTTTTAGAGACTCTAAAGTGGCCGGAACCATTGTTCTATGGGTTTTTTCCCCTAGCTCCGCACGGGGCTCCCCAAGATGGACCACAGGAAGCAGTGCGGCGCTCTGCTCGGCCTAATTTTGGCAAGCCACCAGACAGGTATGGGGATTGAACTGTTCACGTCACAGGGACTGACGACGTCAAGAAGTGGGGGGATGTCATACGGGCAAAGTCTGTTTTATTGTGGTTTTCCTTCTAGTGTGGTGTGTTTTTAGTGTGTATTCTTTTTTATTTAGTTTAGTGCATGGAATGCTTTTATTTTGGGGAACCCAGGAAACTGGGAGGGTGTGTGATTTTACTTTGATGAGCTTGGACAGATGACATCCGGACCGGAGCAATTATCTGCACCGGTGGCAGATTAGGAGCGTCTGTTTTTTGGTGGAGACGGTGGCAGCAAGGAGAGAATCGCCGGGTGAAAGGACACCGATCGTCTGTGACGAGGCTTCATGGAGATGTGGGCAGGGTATTCCTCTGCCCTGGCGTGTGAGTAGCGGCCCTGTGACAAGGTGTGACCCGCGGTGTGTGATCGAGCAGTGACTGCCGTTAAATTCACTGACAGGTGGACCCGCGACAGAGGAGGACGACAGCGTGGCGCGGTGACGCGGCCGAGCCAGTGACTGATCTGCAGGAGGAAGCGGCCGATCGAGGGAAACGGCGGTGCGGCAGACGCGCGTCTTGAAGGAGGAGGCGAGCTATCGAGGGAAGAGGAAGTGGCTGATCGAGGGAAACGGCGGTGCGGCAGACGCGCGTCTTGAAGGAGGAGGCGAGCTATCAGGGAAGAGGAAACCAGCGCGGCAGACAAGCGTCCCCAAGGAGGAGGAATCTGCCCCGCAGCGTCCAGATAAAGCTGCAGACTCTCCGGCCCAGTTCTGACAACCGTTTATAGTGACTGTCCTAACCCGGTTTTTTTTAAATGATGTTTTAATTAGAATTTTCAATAAACCCCGGTGCGGTGGTTAATGGCTGATTCCTTTGATCTCTGGCAGACGCTCTCAATTTACCTGGTGTAATCCTTGGGTGGGATTTTGTATTTGGTAGATATATAATATAGCCCACCCACCCGGTAGGAAGGTGCCACATATTCACATCCCATCTTACAACCTATCTCTGTCTTTTTGTCTCTATAGCTGTCACATCTGATCAAATTTAGCAAACGTTGTAAAGAAAAAAAAATCTAACCTGAAGGATGCCATTTCTGAATGTTAGCAAGTGAAATTTCACACAGGGGCATCGGGTTTGTGTGCTGTACTCACTGCATGACTCAAACTGACCAGATGCTCCATGGGGAGATGAAAAAGCAAGCGCAGCAGTTCCTTCGAGCCATTCCGTGCTTTGCAAGAAGAGCATGAAAAAGAACTCGTAGAGAAGCTGAAATAATACTGCTGATCCAGGCTTGCTGTAGGGAGGGACAGACAGCTGTGCAGCAAGGACACTCATGGTGAGCTAGGCACCAAATTTAAGGAATAAGTTCAAATTGACAAAACTTCATCCTGAAAATAGCGAAGGATCAGGTCTGTTTGTGAGTGGCTGTTAGACAGGTTCTGTCAGCCTCAGCAGAGTCAATGACGGCACAAGCAGAGTGAAAATACTGCTGCCTTAGGCATGCTTGTCCCAGCCCTGCAGTGCAGCCAGAATTTCATTGCCAAACAGAAATACAATAATCTTCCCACAGTCTGAACATTGGAGAGGAACATCGAGGCCAAAAAAAAAAAAAGAAACGACAGCCAATTCCAAAGAGGTAATTAAGGTTCGAATGAGTGACTGTGGAGAGTGTAGATGAGCAATGTGCCTTTCACAGATAAAGACGATTTGCTGTATTTACAGTTGTTTTCAAAGCCTTTGCCACCCTCCACCCCTCCCAAAAATCATTCTTCTGCTGGGTTGAATAATTAATGCTGATCAGCTGATTGTTTCAATAATCGGATTACTTTCTAAACTGTCTGGTAGCTCTGTTTCGATCTAGGACATTATATGTTGAGTTAGGGAAGTGCAAGTTTTCTTTTCATTTGTTGGAAGAATAAAACAATGTTTGACTAATATGGGTCTGGAGAAGTTGCTCCAATTTTCCAAAGTGTTGAGCAAAGTCACAAAACTGAGGTCACAATATTTCTGATGTCCGCTTCAGATTTTTTTGGAAAAGACATGAAGAGACGGTTTCATCAGTTGGCCAAAGATCGATTTTTACTTACAGTGATTAAATTTGACCATCTGTAAAAATAAGATGTGTCAGCTTTGTCTAGGACCTTGAATGACACTGTTGTTGGACACAAAACAAGTCAGTCACACCAATAAAACTGCAATCAAAATATAATCAGCCAAGAGCAGATCCAGACGATGCTTTTCACATCTGTTACTTATATCCATCGAGTCTTTTCCCACCATTTTCCATTGGGTCACAGAGTTAGCTCTTAGCAGGTCCAGGAGAGATGCCCAGACATCACTGATTCCAGTGAAATTCTCCATCTTATCCTCAGAAATTCCAAGGCATCCTCAGGACACGAAGTACTTGGTCTCCCTCATGATCTCTTCTCAGTAGAACGTTTCTGGGAAAGCAAAACAACTTTGTCTGTTTCCTTTTTATACAAAAGAGCAATGGATCTACACCAGGCACCCCCAACCACCACCCGGGATGATGGAGATCCATACCTTACCTCTAGGGCTGAACCTGGAAAACCTACAATGGAAACAAATTAGAGCAGTGCATAACATGGGTATCCAAATCTCTTAAATATAACTGAGGGTTGGAATCCAGCAGTAACATCTTCTCAGCAGAAAGCTGAAATGTGACCCTGAGGACACCCACAGCTCCACTGACTGTCCATAAACATGGTACACAGGAAAAGAGATAGAAGCACTGGGAATGAGCCAAGCTCTTGCTTTAACATGGACCTGACATTTCTTAAAAGGCTTATGAGGGACACAATCTTAACCCTCTCAGGCTCAAATCAAGTTTTGATAAAAGGACGAACAACTAAGTCCTTCAGGGGCAATTCTGAGATAAAAATGCTCAGGTATGTGGAGTAAACAGGTAGGTAGGTTTTAACGTTGCAAATCTGCAACGCCTTCCTCCAGAGGGTTAAATGTATCCAAGTCAGCAACACAAGTGGACTAGATGACAAAAAAAACTCCCTCTAGATTGGAGATCTGGTCCAGTGGACCCAGACAAAGTGGATTAGGATCTAGTTTGTGTTTTGATAAATTAACTGGCTACTAAAGATGCTTCATAGTATTTAGGACTTCATTCTGGTTTATTATATACTCAAGATCTACAATCTCCTGTTTCTCAGATAAGTGGTCCTTTTAAAATATTAAACATTTTTGGTTTGGCTGCTGATGCAGTTGCAAGGTTTATGATCTCTTCTCTCTCTCTTGAAGCTTGATTCAACCAAACAAACGCTGCCTTTGGCCCCTAGTTGTGTATACATAAAGGGCTGATGATACACAGAAACACGCTTCATAAATATGGATCAGACAGAAGTTATAATGTGTTTTAAAACAGACCACAAATCACTTTTTAAGAAAAATGCTGTTTTAGGAACATGAGAATTACAATCTAAACCTAAAAGACCTATGATACCCACAATGCTTTGTGTAAATGGTGACTTGAGACATCAGGAAAGGGTTTATTAGTAAATTAGTTTCGAGTACACACACGTTAAGATGCGTCTAAATCTGACCACAAGCTGTTAATAACATCTCTATAGACTCCAGATGTTTTGTTATGTGTGAGTTTGAGACTCTTATTGTGAAAGATTAATCCCTCATGGAAGTAGCCAAAAGATTACACCACATATTTAATAAAATAGCTTTTTTGATTTGGTTTACTCAGTAAAAGCGCACCCAGAAACCTTGGTTACTATTGGAAAAACAGAACAAGTCTGAAAACGTTTATAACAATTTACACACAATATTGATACTATTTTTATATCTCATTCACTTTGTCTTTTTTTACTTCTCACTGGTCTGAACATGTAGTCGCACAAAAGACAAACTGTCTAAAAGGAGAACGGAAACAAAAGCAAAATTGATACAAAACAAAGATCTGCCTTACCAATGATATGTCCTTACCGAAAATCTCCTTATGCTGCTCAATTATTCAAGAAATGTTACTTTTCCCCCTCATAGCTCAACCCAAATGTTATGCTCTGGTATTTGAAATGAAAAAGGTATTTGTGTTTAACTCAGAAGACCTTCACTTCAAAGCCCAGTGAACTTCCGTCTGAAACTTTCTCTTGACATTTAAGTCTTCTTGTGCTTTGGACAGGGTCTTTGTCACTGCAAGTGGCGTTTCTATTGACACTCCATTCATATTTCAGCTTGCCCTCTGAGCTCCAATCAATGGGTGCTAATGCTTCTATTATTTTCTGCGCTCTAAAATTAAGGTTGCATTGATCAACAAAGCCTGGGTTTGTTACAATGAGAAGCAGCATGAGGGACTGCAGGAAAGCGTCTCTTCAAGGTGCAAGAGAGTAATTCTGGATTCAAGCATGTGTGTTTGTGTGTAACTTTTCGTGCTGGAGTTTTAATAATTTCAGAATTTCCCAAAGGTTTTTAAGTACCGTTGTTGCTATGGGTCCGTTGGGGGGTATAAAACGTGTTGTGTGTCGATAAAAGGTGTGCTGGATTTTAAACACCACGAAGCTTTGGCACGATTGCCAAAGAAATTGCTCCAGGTGTGTTTTTAAACAAATCAACATTGCATCAGTGAGTCTCTGAGCTATTTTTTTTTTAATTGTGCATGTGTTTAAGATAAAAAATGAATAAAACATGGATTTGGATGCAGTAGATCAAAAAGGGAACTAAAACCAAGGAAGCAAAAAACCACACCCAACATCTCTATTCTTAACACATCACAATTTATTGCCAATATTATGAGAAAAACAATTAAATCTTATTTCCATAAATCTAACCTTTCTATGGTATTCATTTGGGAATTTTGTTTTTTCCAAACATATGACCTCACAGCCTTTTCTACTTACTTCAGCCACCCCTGTCTACACACACACCCTCTCTCTATTTACCAGGATGTGTGATATTTCATATAACCACTCTCTGTTTTCAGATCTGACCTGGCAGACCTTGTTTGCCCTGGTCAGCCTCAGACAGAATGGGAGCAAAAACATAGAGGAGTTGTCAAAAACACAATATCAGAGTGTTGGCAACAAAATGACCGTGAACATTTCATCTTTCAGAATGGACTGAAAGACACCACTGAACATAGAGTAGGAACTGGAATGTCCCAATGAAATTTTCAGATGCTAAAAAAGTTGGCATTATATGTAAAGATGAACTTAAAATCAGTCAGGATTTGATGATGTATCCAGGTCAGTGACAGTATTCAATGTCTCACCTGCAGTAGAAATAATTCATTCATTTTGTCCATGTTTGAAAATGGAAAAAGATGGCGGAAGGAAATAAATTTTTTGTTTTAATATAGTTTCTGTAGGAGGACAAACATGACACAAACATTCTTAACGTTTTTCAGTGCTGTAAAGATGTTTAGAAAAATATTAAGTTTCAACGTTTCTGTCAACGAAGATTTGCGTCATAGCCTGTGACACACGTTTCTATCAGCCGGGCAGGATGCCAGGCAGGTGGCTATTGTATACAAATCGGCGACTGTGTGATGGGCCATGGATCCCAAAGGGAAAAAGAGAAAAATAACTGAGGAGAACAGAGGATTCAACGTTTCTTGGACCGCATCATTTG